TTGTCACGGGGTCGATCAGTGTATCATCATTCTTCCCATAGTGGAGAGTGGCACCATTCTCGCCGCAAGCGACGATAGGGTGATAGGACTGCTCTCGAGCGCCATTAGCGATACAAGTCGCAATAAAAGCACCCTCAATTTCACGCTCGTTCACAGCAGTTTGAGAGGCTTTAATAGCTGCAATGTGCGCCTTGGCAGAAATATCATTTGCTTTTCTCAGCAACGCGACTTCGTACTCATCCTTGACCACGCGAGACTGCTCAATAACTCCCTTCAGCACGGACGGGTTCACCTCAGAAAAGCCGTGAAATTGTGTGCTTTCGGAGACCTGATCTGTAATGGTAAAAGCGATAGCCTTGCCGCCATGGCTGGACGCAATTGACGCGAGCGTGCTATTGAGTTCAGTTGTCACCAACACGCGATCGACGTCGTATTGATTTTGAGCCTCCTCGGTAGACATGGGAAGACCGGACCAGATCACATCCTCTGGATCAACTGGAGGAATGAACAGAGTAAGTTGGTCCTTACTCAGATCGTAGATCAGAGAAGAGTCCGGTAACAGACATCCAGATAGGTAGAAGAATGGTCGGCGTTGTCTAATATTGAATGCGATATGTCAGGTCTATCTTTCCAACTGCTGCGGAGTTCAGAATAAAACGCATTCTCGTACCTAAAGGGAACTGGCTCGTCATTGTCTTCAATCAACCGAGTTTTCTGAGCCTCCAGGTAGACGATTCCAGGACAACCATTTCTGTGAGACTGGAGACTTTCGGCCACACGGCGCGCATGCGCTTTCGCCGGATACTTGCCCGCGAGAATTGTATCTACCGTAGCCATCATGCTTTGACGCTAGTTAGAAAGACAGAATGAGAAAGAAATTGAAGCCTCTGTCCTATATCTCTCCGGTGGGATGTGGCCCATATCATTACTGAATCTCAAACTTGCTCGCTAATCGGCTGTTGCGGGGTCTTGCTATGCGGGGCCCAGGCCGGTTAACGTCGGTATAGGCTCTCCGAATGAGATACTATCCAAATCGTGATTCGAAGGTCGGAGCAACCCTGTTATCGAGTACGGAACAGGAAATAATTTGAGAACCAGTCCGTAGTCGAGACATTAGATAGACTATCGGACCTTTTGTATATCTTCATGCCATATCTTTCATGAGAGTAGCGGAGCTATTCACCGTTCTGATAGATAAGCTATACATTATTCATCTGCATGGGCTGGTCTGACTGCCTGATGTTACCACATCCTCAAAATCCATCTCCCATCTGTCAACCTCTTCAAATTTCTTGGCTTGCAATCTGAGCTCCTCGCTCAGGTAATTATTAGCTGGTATTGGCAACGGCGATGATTCTAGATCGAATGCATCCGTGTCAAGTGGTGAGGACAGAGGCGAGGACACCTCGATTGCTTGGTTCTCCTTGTCGACATCAGCAGTCTTATTTCTTTGTGGAGCATTAGCTCTCTTTTGCCTCGAGTCCTTCATCACAGCTGAGTTTGTATGTGCAGAAGACTCAGTTGGACTCATGACTTCACCGTTTAGAGCTGTGACTGCAACTTGCTTCCTGTGCTTGGTTCGAACAACTTCCAATGGCTTTGGCTTGCCGTTTCGCCGTTGTTGTGCTCGCGCTGGCTCCCTAGTGGGCAAGTATGACAATTCATCTTCATCCTGGTCGATAGAATAGTCCTCTTGGCTTTCGTCATCTAGAAGTACATGATCGGGTGCTCCATGGTGTCTGCCATGTTTACGACGTCGCCGAGGAAGCAATCTATCTTGAAGGCTTGCGGTGGACACAGTGAGCTTTTCACTCAATTCTCCTGCGTTACGGTCCTTCGTATGCTCCAGCGAGTCTGCGGGTGATTTATCAGCCATCAGCGTTGAGTGGCTACTCTGGGGACTTGACACTGGGCTGCTGCTCAATGGTGGCGCCACCGTCCGATTCAATACTTCCGAGTCTGCCAAGTGATGTGAAGCCTCACGAGGGGTGCCATGCTCTTCATCAACAACCCCCGGGCTTATTGAGCCAGCAGGTGAGTTTTCCACGACGTCCAGGGGTGACTGGGGAACTTGAAGCTCCCCCCCGGCGCGCTTGCGCTTGCGCGATCCTCCGCTGGACGGCTGCGAACGGTCCGACAGAGGTGAGGAAGAGGCATGTCTAATAACGAGGGATTTTCCTCTGGAAACATTGAGGGGAGTTGACTCATCCTCTGGGCTCAGTCCACCAAGAAAATCATCATCGTCAAGGTCTCCTAAATCAGAAGATCCGTCATCTGCCTGCATCATCTGGAGAATGCTTGCTTGCCGAGGTCGTCTCCTAAAATTGCTCAATATCGAACTCTCGAATCCTGGAGTGCCAGGTATTTTGGAGCTCATATCAGCCCCTCGTCTGCCAACTGATAGCGTAGATGAATAGCCTCGAGCTCTCGTGGGTGGCCGGCTGCCCGTAGCTCCACGTTCCCCCATAGGCGAGGACTCAATTGCCTGTTCTTGCTTCTTGGTCATGGGTGTCTGACCCCTGAATTGTCTTGCGAATTTGATATCATCGACACTAGGTGCCGGCTGTGCCTCCAGCCTCTTGTCATCCTCGGTTCCATGTAGAGGTCCTGGATTGCTGGCAGTACTCTTGGTTTCGGGATCTTTGGTTTTCTGGGATACCTTGGGCGAAGCCCGCACATGTCGCGATGTGAGACGATTGCGCTTTGTAGGAGGACGTGGCATTGTTGTGTTGTATCGGATCCAGACACTTCGGTTGCGGCGAGATGAAGAAAAACAGAGAGGAAGGACAAGGCTTTTCCCCTAGCACAAAGGAGTGCACGGGATTATTTGTTTTAAAATGAAGGTGATTACTGTGTATAACCAATAATCGTTGAATTCTCTCGTACGCGTAGTTAGCGAGGTCTGTTTGGTTATATGAAATGTAGAGTGGTGTCTTCAGGGATGGGGTGCAGAGAGATAAATGGCGCAATGATTCATAGAATCATGATCTTGACTACCTTCGGAAGGGGAGTTGCTAGCTAGGACACAGAGGATCTTCTCTGGTTCATCAGTACTTCTCCCCACTCGGCTCGCGTCACTGATCAGGGATTGTTTTGGCGGTTTCGACGCGTCGGGCGGCCATGCACGTGTCTGGATCACTTCCAGTTGATGAGAACAGACCAGAACCCGTTAAAGCTACTTTACCCTTTTAGGATATTCCATGCATTTCAATAAGCCCTCCAGACTGGGTCTAGCTCTGGGGAGTGGTACCAGACTTACCATAGTGACACTGATTACCCCCTCTGTGAGGGAAAATCCGTCGCAAAGTTGGAAAAGTACCCTGAGGCCTGGGCAAGCAACCAATCTGATTAGAGGGTTAACTGATTACAGATTACGGACAGAGCACATCTTAGGTAGTCGTACGGATCTATGTAGATATTTTATACTATCTCACTCTACTCAAATGATTAGAGCTTCCATGAGTTAGGCAGGTGATGTAGTGAGAGTGCTATCTATCAAGGTGGTGAAGGTACATTATTATTTTCGATGGCGGATTATTGGTGTCATCTTGAACTCCGTACCTCTCCTATACAGAACACTATACGTAGTACATACCGCAAGGTACCTGAGCAATTGCGTCCTGTAGATACCTAGGATCTTTGAGCTTTCAACGTTGCTACCTCGATGACAATGCTAAGGTAGGAGCATGACGGTTGATGTATTCGTAATACCAGTTTACTTCGGAAATACGACATACCTAACCATCCATGGATACTTGGATAGAGGTACCAACCTAGTTCTTTTATGAGAACCGTTCTACGGAGTAATATCTGCTCCAATATTCTCCGTTGGCCGTCCAGCACGGATCAATGGCCGTCTCTAGAACTAGTTGCCGGTGCTAAAGATCAATGAGTTATAGTCTCACCTGTACCCTGGACAGGCCCTAGTCATGTATCCCAATCATTCGAGACAGGTTCCTTTTCATCAAATTCCAAAGGGTTTTGAACAATGCCGTTTCCACTACTCGGTCCTGAAAGGCTAAAATTATTTTACTGTTCATACGGTAGCTACCTAGGATGGCCGTGGCCCTGATAGTCCATTTAATGCAGCAGGTGGAAGTGCATCGACATCACAGATTGTACCTCGTATACGACTTACGAACTACCTAGTCGAGGGCGATATTGCGCCGTACTTGAGGTAATAATAATAATTTAATGATACCCAGGTACTCCATAGAGTCCTCGGCTATGGCCCAAAAGATGTTCATGATATGACCTTCTCCGCATTGCACTAAGATGGGCTTGCCTTCTGATTCGGTTGTGCTTCTACGCTTCTTTTGTATCTACTGATATTATGGTAGATATTAATCTACTACTGTATTATTATTGGGCCCAGTGATTCCGTGAAACCTGGCTCCTTCAAACTCCCAAGTCATTAGTATTGACCTTCCCCCGCTCCCCCAGATACTAGAGACTACTTAGGGAGTCTAATAATATAATTACATGCACACTATGGCCTGCCTTAGACTCACTCAGGGAAATGTCAATCTCGCTTCTCTGAATCTCGAGTCGTCTGCTCAACTAGGTATTTTGGTCTTTTCCCCACTCCCTGCTTACTTCTCAGGGCTCTTCTTGTGACATCTCACTGATCGTGGCATTTCAGCACTTGGTTTGAGAAGCCATTCGATGCGTATCGCGAAAGCCACTTAAGGGCTGCTTAGCGCTTGGTGAAATCTCACCATGGGCTTCTAATCGTCGCATCATCATCTACATTGATTCGTCTACCTCTGTCCCAGGATCTTGTTCTCAATTCTCCGTTCTCCTAACGCGTTTCGAGGATGGTCCAAGCCGCAAGACAGAGAGTTTGGGATTAAATGATAGGCAATGCCACTATGAACAGCCTACTCAGCCCATGCAGAGAGTACAGATTCATGCCATTTTTGCTTTCTTCCAGAATCTCCAAAGTCTGGGCAGGCGAATTTCTCTCGTTGTGATATGAAAGTACCTTGGCCATTCACATCATGACGCCCTCTCCAGAGAGAGACTTGGTCCTCGACTCGGCCACTGCAGGTGGCACTACCGAATTTCAAGTCAGCAAGAAAAAGCGATCCAACTCTGAGTTAACAGAATATCCTCGGAGACGTGCGACGATCGCAGTACGTATTCTCGACTTCTTCTTTTCACCTTTGCCCTCCCCTTTCCGCTCGTCACCTGGGTATTGGTTGACCCGTGAGGAGCACCGCAGTGCCAGATATGTCGCTTACGAAAGACTCGATGTAACGGCGCGCGCCCGAGGTGTCAACTTTGTACAGACCTAGACGCGGACTGTGTTTACAGGGAACCAGGCATCAAACTCGACGCTGGCGACAAACTGATCATTGAGAGGCTGAATAGAATCGAGGGTCTACTTCAGTCTACTCTGGCGGGACACACAACCCATTTCCCGTTGTCTTCAACGTCCCCTACCACCAGCAATGATACGAATGTGGGCAGCGATGATGCGGTCGCCAAGGCATCCACTATCGCCGCCATGTCTGGGAGAACCTCCGTTGCCGGACTTGGGTCCTGGGCGAACCCACCAACGAGCATCTCAACGATGCCCAAGGTGCACACTACTCCCGCGCTACACCTTCTACAATGGCCCCTTATTCGGGACCTGGTCGCTGGTCCCTACGATCCGCAGACGTTACTGCAGCTTGAAATGGCCCGCGAGCCGCTTAGGTTTCCTTCCGCTGCAGGATTCGACTTGTCCAATACAACAACGTATGTACAGTCTTTTTTCGAGCGGGTTAATGTCTGGTACGCCTGTGTGAACCCATACACTTGGACAAGCTATTACAATAAAGCCGTCTCTCTGGGATTCCGAGAGGGGCCCGAAAGCTGCGTTGTCCTCTTGGTCTTGGCTCTCGGCAGCGCCAGTCACTATGGAAGCATCTCGTTCATTCCTTCAGATATGGACCCCCCCGGACTACCTTACTTTGCAACAGCGTGGAATCTTCTGCCATCAGTAATGATGCGCAACTCTGTTCTGGCTGCTCAGTGCATCATCCTTGCGTCTGCCTATTTATTCTACCTAGTCAGGCCGTTGGAGGCTTGGACCCTCCTCTCCAATGCTAGCATGAAATTACAATTACTCTTCGGGGACCCCGCCCGTGTGCCCCTTCAGTGGAGGGAATTGAGTGTGAGAGTGTACTGGAATGCTCTCTTATATGAGAGCGACTTGCTGGCAGAGTTGGATCTGCCTCACTCGGGCATTGTGCACTTCGAAGAAGTTGTCGACCTTCCCGGTGGTTTCGAGGAGGAGGAGGACGAAGAAGAAGATGATGAAGCTGACACTGACGATCGTCAAAACAGCTTAGTGGAGGGCTCGGTAGGCCGCGAGGAACTATGGTATTTCCTTGCTGAGATCGCTCTTCGGCGACTTCTGAATCGAGTCAGCCATATGATATACCAGAAAGATAATTCGCTGACTCTTGGGTCACTTGGGCCCATTGTCTCGGAGCTGGATTTCCAACTTTCCCAGTGGTATGAGAGTCTCCCTCAACCAGTCCAGTTTCCCCTTAACCACACACCGATTTCCAACCCCGTCCAGACAGTCCTCAGATTGCGATACTACGCGTGCCGGACAATCATATACCGGCCATACATCTTAGCTGTCTTTGAGAATGAGCAAGCTGCAACTGATCAAGTAGTAAGGGAATGCTGCCGGCGGTGCTTGGAGGCCACGCTGCGGCAGCTGGAGAATATTACCAGTCACCGTGAAGGCCATCTCCCCTATCTCTGGCAGGGCGCGCTCTCTATGGTATCGCAAACATTGTTGATCATGGGGGCCACGATGTCCCCCGGGCTCTCTACTTTATTGCCTCCGGGATTTCGAGTGGATGCGATAATATCCAGTGTGATGGCCGAGGTTGAGAGGTACGCGCACCTTGCGCCAAGCCTCAAATTATCTGCAGAGATCATTCGCGACGCAGAGAAACGACGGCAAATTTGTCTCAGGTCCACGAGTCGACGAGTATAGAGGGTCAGATGAACTACTCTAGGAATCAGTTCAATTCAGGCTTCGCCTTTTATCATGCGACAATTACACTCAATACTGGGTGACTGTTTCAGGACAGCTGACAGGGAAGCTAGGGTCTGATGCACAAATAAGCCATAATTCATTCTTCTTTTTATTCATGCTTGATCCCAGTCCTGATAATTTGATTCTCTGTCTCCTCCCATCGTCTCTGAAACTCCGCTCTTGCGCTTGCTTGTACTTTGTTCTTTTACCTAGCATTTGCTCAAGACTCTTGAGTAATCGCAGACCTACTCAAGTGGCAAGCTCAGTCCAATAAACACAATTTCATACCCCGGCTCACTTGTGGGTAATATATGACATGAGATGCGACAGATTGAGAACCCCCAGCGAGAGAACATCACTGTTGATATGATTAATTGCCTCCAGCACTTGAGACAAAATGTGAAAAATCTTGGCAGATTTCTAAGCTTGCTACCATGACAAACGAACAAGCACATACAACCCTTGATATCTTGAAAGCAATATAGGGCAATGGTATCGCAAGAGAAAATACAGTAACAGGGTATTTAGAAGGACGTGTTCTCCAGACAAAGCTGGGAATATAGATCAGGATAGTCGATGGCCGTTCATGCTTGAGTGAATTCGGCGGAGGAAGGGGAGGGACAGAGGCAGTTCCATTTGAAATTTTAATAAGGGAGAATGTAGCATGGGAGAGGTGTATCAGAGCTAAAGGGAGGGCAGAAGAGTTAAACTAGCAGGTGCTAAAAGGCTGAGCGTCGATGGTGAACAATTATCAAAATAAGCTAAGGCTCGAACACCTTTACACTCAGATCAAAACCCATTCACTTCCTCTCTTGATGAACTTATCAAGCATCATGCCAATGTCGTTCAAAGCGAATCGGCAGATATAGAATCCGAAAAATTCAGCAGCATGGCGTGTACTCAATTCGAGGCCCACTAATGTGGGCGAGGAATGTCTCAGACCGGGGTCTTCAACTTGCTGGGCAATCTGGTCTACATCAGATAGCCTTTGTTAGCATAGCAGGATTGACAAGAAGCAAGGGAGAATGTACTCACCCAGCACCTGAGCCGCGTCGCACAGTCGGGCAAGCGCAGCCATATAATGTGCGTTGGGCCCACTGAACTGGACCTGTGGTGTAACACGCTTGGCAGCTTGAGAAGTTGGCAACGAAGTCATGGGGAGCGAACTGATTGTTAAATTATCTTTGCTGGTTTCTTTGCAATGCACTGGTGTAGCGGGAGCACCGAAGCCTGAGTTTTTGGAACGCAATTTTCGCCATGAAGTAAGATATGACGACTTGCCTGAACTGCCGTTGACTTTTTGCGGCATATTATCAACACCATTTGCCACATCCTCAGAGCTCTGAGAATATTTGAAGATCGGCATAGCCCCTTGCACGCCGACTTCGCTGCTTATCTTTTTTGACAGAGACACCTGCACCTGGTCGAGCACAGCTTCCAAGGATTGCATTTCCTCCAGAATGGCGTCGGCGTCATAAGTGTCCACCTTAGCAAGCTTAAGTAACGCCGCCGTCAACAAGTCGCAGTTGGACACTTTTTCTTCGACCGCCCTAAGTTTCACGTTTTTAACGCCCCACACATCATGGGGCACAAATAGTTTCGTAGATAAATAGCCCCCTCGCGGATGAGCGATGGTCTGGTAAATACATCTCATAAGCCAGAACGGACGTAGAAGAAATGATTCGGGACACGGCTCTAAAGGAATAGGGGCGTTCGCAGCCATTGGATTGGGGGATCCGGGACTTGTCGGTGAGTGGATGTGGCTATCGAACAAATACAGGCCTCCACTGTTCAGACCGGACGGCGCAAAAGTTGCACCAATAGGTGTAGGTAGAGAAGGAGCTGCGCCAATTGCCGTTCCCTTGTGGAGGTCCGGGAATGCACCGCTTGATGGCGTTTCCGGGGAATTGGCAGACAGATCAGGCGCTGGTACAGAAACATTCCTCGGCCGGAACGTCTTCAGGCCTGAATTTAACTTGCCCATGTTGTCTGGGGCTGAAGGGACCTTGCCAATCAGACGGGCGGGTGATGGCACCTTCGATATCCTGGCATACGGTTTTCCCTCCTGTGTAACAACTTTCTCTAGTACTTTAATGGTGGAACCATCTTCAGCTAGTGATGCAATTGAAGCATTCCTTCGGTTGAGATGCACGGCCGACGCGGAAACGGAAGCTGGAGCGGGAGTTTTTGTAGTAGAGCTTGCGGAAGAGAGTGTTTGAGATCCGTCTTTGGGGACAGGGGGTGGTCGAAACATGTCCGTGTCCGCGGAGCCTTGAGTGGGCGCATCACCGCCAATCTTAGGACGAGAGCTTGTTTCGATTTTCAGTTCTGTCGGGTTTTGGCCTGACATCCGTCGTGCTCGCACGCTTGGACTCGCTGTTAGCACAGAAGACTGTTTGGGCAGGCCGAAAGGAACGTGGGGTGAGGAGACTAAGTCGAACTCTGATGGAGTAAGTGCGCTCTGAGGTTTCTCTGATTGATCCTCTAACACAACGTCATCTTCCTCCAACGGAGCCAAAGTTACGCCGGGTGTTGTTGTAGCTGAATTAGGGACAACCGAGCTCTCCCATGTCCTAGCGGACAACACGCTTGAATCTGACTGGCGCGGAAGAGCAGATTTTGACTGGAGATCAAATGCGAAATCATCCATAACGTAGCCACTGGTCATTTCATCCAACAATCGCTCCTCTTCTTCGGCTTCGTCGTCAGGATAATCTTGGATCAACTCAGTTGAATGGTCGAGCCTTGTCTGCTCAAGTATGTGGCGAAGATCGTGGCCCTGTGTTATTGCTACTTCCGCTTCTCTCTCCGCTTCCCTTACTCTCTGTTTTGCCAACTCAACGTTCCTGCGAGCGTTCGCTACAATCTCATCGTCTGTATCGTAACCGTCCACCTCTACCGCTGGTTCCAAGCCTTCATCGTATGCAGCCTCAACGGCAGCATCTAATGCAGCATCAAATTCGGCTTCAGTACCATGGCTGAAGCGGTGGCTTCCCCTCCGCCGTAGATATACGGATGATACTCGGGAGTGCTGGGAAGAAGGTGAAGAAGCACCAGACTCATCGATAGTATCGAGCCAAGAGGTTGACTCGTAAATGTCCCTGGCGTGAGTGCTCAGTAAGGTCAACTCAGAATGAGGATCCCTGGAAGACGAGGATTCCTCATCATCACCGAGTCCTCCGGTTAAATATGTATCCTGTGGAGGGCCCAGTGCGCCCTGAAACAATTTCTCCGACGCTTGCCTGGACGAATCAGACTGGGCCGGTCTGCCGGACACGGGTGACCGTATGGCATATCTGGATTCATCCTCCAAGGGCGACGGCAATAGCGACTGACGCCTCGGAGGAATCTGATCGGGCACCATGGCTCTAGATCCTTCAGAGACGGGATGATCATGAACGAAAGATCTAGACTGCAAATAGTCGTATCTCTCCTCAGGATGAAAAGCATCCTCGTCCTCCATGGGCTGCGACATTGCTCCGTATGACTCCTGACTAAGGGGACGTTCAGGAAGCGCTTTGCTGTTAACTTCGCGGAAGGAGAAGTCCATACGACGTAGCTCGGTTACACGAAGCATATAGGTGTCGCGCTACAATATCCCTGTCAATAAGTTCTCCAGGGGTAGAGAGGGCAAACTCACAATCTCCTGAAGCTTCATTCTCTCGTCTTCTCCTCCGTTGCTTCGCAACATGACTAGTTGTAGAAGCTGGCAAGCATCGTTGTAAGCTTCCATTGCACCTTCGAAGTTAGCTGCGTTGTCTAAGAGGACTGCAGTATTAGCCTTCTGCAACGCTTTAGAAAGCATTGCTTTCTGGGAATAACCCCGCCGCCGTCGTCCAGAGTCATATCCCTTGGCCGATGCTGGGCGTGAGCTGTCGCCAACCTGTTGAGAGCTCGCTGGATCATGAGACAAATTATGTTCGCCAGAGCCCACTCTGAGTGAGCCTGAGTTTGCCCACGGATTTTGGAAGAGAGCCGGGGAGGCTAACACAGGCTCCGATGTCTCTATATTTGAATCGGAGGGGACCATGCCGCTATCATTCGCCGCCAACATGGGTATTGTACCAGTATCTAATGATCCAAGTCTGGACGCTTCGGTATGGCTTGCTGACATCGAAGGCTGTGAGACACGAAATGCCTGTGATTGGCCACGGTGGTGATCGGGAACGTAACACTCAGGGCTAGAGGTGCTAGCCGGGCTTGCATTTGCCTTTGGAGATTCTATATTACTGGGCGATGAATTTCCCCGAGAACGGTTGATAGGCGAATCCTTGCTAGAAACGGTCGACTGAGACCAGCGATTCAGGCTACCGAGGCCTTCTAGAATCCCATTATGATCGGTTTGGATTTCCGAAATCGCGTTGGTCGTCCGCTCTGGTATCAATTCGGGCATTGTTGTAATGATTGTTTCGGAGCTTGTGGTGTTTTCAGGGACAGTGAGTTCACCTTGGTTCAACGCTGTTTTCCACGGGAACGTCTCTGCAGCCCTTTTTCATTTCCCAATAGCTTCCAAGCGAGAAGCGAGAGGTGGCTAGTTTGTGAGGCAACCACGAGTAGGCATATATAGATTGTCGAGGCCTGAAGTTAATATATATATTCCTCAATTTTGAGCGCCTTGTTCAGCGCATCGTCGTTTAGCGCAGGATGCAATGCGTTTACGGACAGCGCATTGCTTTCAGGTGACAGCCAGCGAGCAGCGCAAACCAGAAGCGACGTACACTTTAGGATAGCCGGCCGCAATTGCAGTTCAAGCGGAGCGGCAGAGACCGGAGCGAGGAATAGTTACCCAGGCGATCAAAGTGGTCACTTCGGCAGGAATCGATGGACGGCTCGGAAACATCAGAAGCGTGGTGATGTGTTGGAAACTCGGCACGGAGATATATCAGGGACGATAAGCTAGAGAAAGAATTGGAATTGTGTCAATTGCCGTTTGTTGAGGAGTGGGCAGAAGCCAGACGACAGGATTACTCAGAAGCTGTCTAGACAATCGGTAGCGTCAGACGTATCGGCTTGTTTAGCAGGTTATCGAGCATAGAGAACAGATGCCGTATTGTTTACCTCAGAAATAATCAATTCGAGATTGAAAGAGAAATCTAGCTTCAAAAGAACGTCCAACTACAGGATGTTGCGGAGAGATATACGAAATCTCAAGACATGGTTATTGATAGTGGCATCATTATCGGCGATTGTAGGCGGTTCAGGGGAGAGAAGCGGAGGTCTGGTCACCCTGGTGGTTGGACAATTTGCGGAGCGGAAAAAGGGGGCAGTGGGGTATCAATGTCTGGACCATGAGAGAAATCTTTGCAAGTGCACTCAATGATGTTATTTAAACTACTGAAATTAATGTCAGAATCTATTACACTAGTACCGTTCCGTCTCATGCAAGCTTTCCTTAGTTTAATATTTACTCGGTATCTGCTTGTGTTCTTTCTAGCTACGTTGTTGTGTTTTACGGAGTAGAGATGGTCCGTCATTGCCAAGAAAAATAGGTATACTTCTCAAGTACTCGATATGGATACCTATGTCCCTTAGGTGCGTGACGCTACTGCATATATGCTCCGTGATTGATTCTCGAGGTGGGTTTAGATGTTAAGATGTTATAGATGTTTATTTATCTATTGGTGATTATTGTCATTCTGCCACTGATTTAGATGGTAGAAATGTTTAGTGCATCTATAAGTGTCATTAATCTGTAGGTATTAGGGTTATGACTATCAGGTGTGTACAACAGAGGATCTGAGAGATTGGCATCTGACTGTGTCTTTAGATACAATACCTTGCGCATGGACAGGTATGGCCCATCCTTTTCTACAAAAAGCAGCATAGCATCGCAATGACGAAGAGTTGCTGGCTTAGCAGATATTCAGGCGTCATCGCTCCTCTGCCTCACCTGAAAAACTCCTAACATTGGCAGGTGTACTGGGCACCGAAAAGAGGTGAAAGTTGACGGTGAAATCGATTTGGACTATCTAAGCTGGACTATCAAGTGACTGACAGTTGTATTTCTCTTCGCCCAAGCGTACATTACCACGGTACGTATGCATTGCCGGTAATTTTCAGTCTCAGCAATCGAGGGATCTCCTTTGTAATGAACTGCAGGTTGCAGTCTCGTCGCTATCAGGTGGAGAGACATTCGTGTCCACGGACATATTGGCAAGACCATTCCAACACTGATTGGAAGTTGAACGGATAGAAGATCAAAGGTCGCTAAAGCCCAGCCTCTGCCGTCTATTCCCAGCGTTGGAAGATGATCAGAAGATGGCATTATCAAGAACGATGAAATGGTTATCGACACATGTGAAAAATAGCCAGCAATTCTGGCGATCGATGGGCAGGCCCTCATAACTGCAACAAGAACGTTATTGCATTGTTGATGGAACTTCTTCCGGCCTTGTCATTAGTGGGAAAGACATTCAAACCAGAGCATCAAGGCCGAATATATGGATTTTCCTATATCGAACCCATATCCCATCGAACCCACCTCATGTGTAATATTTGAACGAGCCCGCAGGAGAAGGCTCAGTCATAAATACATCATATTTGTATGTTCTCCGCCAGGAATGTCAAACTGTATGCTAATACAGGCTCATAACTGAGAAGAAATCCGGTCTCATGCAAGCCAGAATTGTGGATGGCATGGCATCGGTGTTGCAGGCAACAGATACCTTTCTCTGCACATAGTATCTTCCAACCTGTCTTGAACAATTCACCTGGAAAGCTGCTTCCTACACCTTTCGAGCAAGCAATTTGTGATGGAGACAATATTCATTACGGAAGCCTAATCCGCAACAACTTTTTCTTGTGTGTATTTGCTCCAATTGCCTAGGCAATCCTACAGAGTCAACAAATTTAACCGAATTTCAAGATTTTTCAGCACTCCGGCTCCCCCGCACAAAGATGCTTATAAGTTGGCTTCTGGGCCAGTAGGCTGGCTACCTTCAAGAACGGCAACAAAAGGCTAAACCCTCCACGACTCTATAGGCGGCGGCGACGCGGAGCTTAAGGGCACTCTAGCGTCTGAGGCCCTGAAGACAGTAACCCGAATGGTGGATAGGCAATTGAGGCCTCGACAATGCCTGCTTGGGAGAAGACTGAAAATGCCTTTCAAATCCGTGAAGGATAGAAGATCATGAGCCTGTGTATGCCTACACCCCGTGAGCAACAGGGAAGGTTATCGCAGCGCGCCCTCCCCAATCTTTCCTTTCCCTCCTTTGCTTTCAGTTCCACTCTGCTGCTTTTTCGGCGCACATCATCGTTTGCACAGATATAAACAGAGAAATGTGTATTATCCATCCATTGTGGTTCCTGAGCCAAATGAAAGAGCTTGTCCTGATTCTAGTCTTCCTCACTGGTTGCATCAATATTCTTCTTCATTGAATATGGGCTTTCAGATTCCGCGCTCTGGTCTGTTTCGTTGCTATCGTCCCCGTTCGCCTTTTCATTGGCCTGAGGATATTCTGGCCGCGGCACAAACTCCCCGCTCTCTTTAAGCGCCATCTCAATATCTGGTAATAATGTTACTAGAGCAGAGAATTGGTCGATTGGTAAAGAAATGCCCTATAGTGCAAGTCAGTTGAGGTGGGACAGCGCCTGCTGGTAATCTCATTTTACCTTCTTCCCCGGGAGCTCTTGCCCGTCCTTCTCGTAATACTCTCTAATGTTGACAAGCGTCTTCCCTCGAAAGGAGGAGATAGTGACACGACGCATTTTAGAAAGCTCCCAGAATTTGTCTCCATTTGCGTCGACTTTCCAGCTCACTGCTTTACGCATGTTGTGAGGCGATGATGCAGAAACACTCATTGATGCCTCGATTTTTGCTTTCTTCTGCTGGAAGTACTCATTGTTGCGGTCATCACTGACACTTGACACGCGCTTCCTGGGCCCAGAAGGCATCCCCAAGATCTGGTCGTGGATAAATGGAGAAAGAATCGAGGTGGATACTGCAGTAGTATGAATAAGAGACCACTACAGTTAAATTGTTCACAGTGGTTCAAAAAGCGTAACTAGTGATTCTCTAGTGTAAGATGATTCAATGGATGCGTGAATATCAGACGCGTCATATCATGTGAGAAATAATGGAGTAGCTAAGGACTGAGTGGGGACTCCCAGCTGGGCTCAATTCCTTAAACTCTAAACCATGAGGTCCACCTACGTACTGTTAAAAGCTTCTAGTTCTATTCAGCCTTGTATGTCTTCTTGATAAACTCAGATAAGAGACCTATTACCCTACTATAAAACGCGTAGAGGTATCTTCCCCAACTTCCGCAAGCGAATATCAACGGTATCTAGTAATGTATATGTTCAGAGCTTTAATGATCAAGTATCATGGGATTTAGGTCATTTTTCTACTTCCAGTCTGCAATGTGTAGCCATATCCGATCTGAAGAAAGACAACTGAACCTCTAGCTGATATTCAAAAACCTAATCCCTATTGATAACGGATCATATGCTCCTCCTTACAACATTTTGGTTGGGTAAAGTTGTGTAGCTTTCGATATAAGAGTGCCAACAGTTGACGCAAAGATTGAACGCTCGAATCTAAACATGCGAAACACCATTTAATGTTCATATTCACCTATTCAAACTTCATCTTAACGAAAACTCCTAGGCAGCGTCTTCCAGGGATCATCCGACTGAAAAAAAAGGGGGAAATAATCATCAGGTTCATTGAAAGTCACACCATTCTCAACCGGATCAGAAGGTCAGAGCTCTCAAAGCTTGCAAAAGAATAGAGAAAACAAAACCGCGCGCAATCATTTCGACCTGTAGGCAATCAAAGACCCTCTCAAGTGATTCACGACTAGCAGCAGACCCCATGACACTAGTAAGCGCCTGCGGCAGCCCCTTAAGGACAAGTGTTTTTCTTGCAGTTTCCCTCATACGCTCCTTTTCCGCGCTACTGGGCGACTGAGGCCAGGACTCCAGCTCCTCCTTCGTCGGCAGGGCGTTCTCGCGGAGCTTGGTCAGATAGAGCGCGACTGATGCATCCGAGGTATTAGCATCAATCATTGACTCCTGCAAGAGAGAGCGAATCGTCTCTAGACTTGGGCTTCCGGGGCGCAAAATATACGACTTCGCCGCGTTGAGGAGCGTTCTCCTGATGTTCCATGCAGATGACAATGAGTATAGTTCATTGATAACCGCAAACATGAGCTCCACAGCTATTTGCGTCTCCTCCTGGGAGATAGGGCTTTCTTGACGCCGCACAGTACTTTGACCAACTGACGCTTTTTGCTCTTCGTTCGGTCTTTTGCGGGAACCATTGTTATCGCCATCGTCAGAGTCAGACAACGGCACCTGAAGATGATGACTCTCGAGACTTGAATCGCAAGATGCAAGATCTCGGAACGTTGGTATAGTAGAGTCAACAGCTTCTCCGCTTCCGGGGCAGGGAGGGACTCCTTCAGAACTTGAAGTCTCGGGGGTAGGGACAGCAGCTAAAGAACAACACTCTGGCTTATGGTTCTCGCTAACAGGTCTCTTCGGCCCGATCACACTGTCAGAGACTATACTCTCGTAGTTCATTTGTGATACGGACTGAGTTGATAGGGAACGGCCATGGTTCCCTTGGTCTCCTTTGGAGCTTAATGATGTTTTTTTGCCGTTCGCTCCTCCAAACACTCCTGTCACACCACCAATGACGGCTTTACCACCTTCAGCAACGCCCTTTGGTGCGTTAGTCAGAACGCCTAGCATACCTTTGCCCATGTTTTCGAGCGCCACCGAGGTGGGAAACGGAAACCCAGATTTAGCCGAGGCATCGCTGGCACCAGGATCGAGGCGCTCATCCTTCTCCAAAAACCGTTTCATTCTCTCGCAATCTGCAAGTGCTTCATAACGAAGGGCATCCTTAAGATATCTCTCCAGATTACGCACTAGGGCCCCCTTTGTCTGCCCCTTCCAGGGTGGCAAGACAGGGTGGCTTTCTGTAAAATTCTGTATCTTATTAAGCCTTGCTATCGTTCCAAGGGTGCCGTGTAGTGATTCAAAATCTGCATAATTTCTGAAAATCATCCACCCTGTGCGACGTGTGGCTGCTGGCTCGATTTGGATCAGATAACTCGATGTAGGTTTTGACCGAATTGATGCCGTCTCACTAGCTTCAGAAAGCTCCTCGACTGAAACGGAAGCGTAATGAAGAGCCGTGACAGGTGAAATTTTAGATGGGGAATCCGATAAATGCGAGACTGGTGGTGCCATGCATGGTGGGTCTGGAGGTTGGACTGGAGGATAATGTTCCGTGGACACTATCTCTGTCGGATCACAATCATTTCGAATCTGTGCGACGTCTTTGGCCTTCGGTGTGTGAATTGTTGCCTCTTTGTCTTGGGCCCCGACAAGCGAGTGGCGCGGCAGCATGGCTGACTGGGAAGTTGAGGACTGCACATCTTCAGGGGAAGACAGACGAGCGGTCCGAATCTGCAAGTCCTGTGTCTGAACCGTAGCGCTTTCTGGTTGACAGATCGGAATCTCAACAACCTTGGTCGTAGGGAAAATTCCATACCTATCAGATTGACCGGCAGGCTTCTCCTCAGTGTCTGACTTGCTAAACGGAACTGTTCTAGACTTGTTCTCGTCGTGGGCGCCTTCGACCGCGACCACTTGTTCCTTGGCCCCCTCAACCCCCGCATCAATGGCGTTCAATAACTCTGATTCACCTTCTTTTAGAAGATGAATGATCCAGCCATTGATCGTCTCCGACCGCGAAAGATTGGAGATTGCCGACTCTAATACTACACCGGCCAGAATCTCGCGAAGGAATTCCCTCAGCACCGAACATGCGTACGCTCCTGGTTCCAAAAAGCTGGATAGGATGTCATCTGCTACCATTTTTAATTTCAATCGCTGCTGCTGCTCCGACAAAATGCTGGCTAAACTGCTTTCCGGATGTAAATGCAGGTACCGTTTGACTGCATCTTCCGGCGTTAAATGGTCCCCGACTTGCTGAAATGCCGCTGACAATTCATTCAAGAGCACGATAACCATAGAGGAAGAATTTGTGAGAAACTCCAAGAATGCATCTGCCGGCCGTTTGCGAGACAGATGAGAGGACAGAGAAATAATAAAGTCTCTCAACAATTTCCGGCATGCGAGAGGGAACATTTGCTCTGCTGGCAATATGGGTTCATACCAGTGACTTGAATTCTGTCAGAACGTGCGGAGACATATGCGATGCAAACATACTTTACATAGTCCTTTATCACAGCATTGGTCAATGACCGCAATGCTGCTGCTGTCTTGGGCGGAAAATCAGAGAAATCTAGCTCAGTCTCAGACATCTGCTCAGCAGCTTTCGCAATATTTCCGCCGTTGTTTGATTTTGGTTCTGAAGGGTTGCGACTCGATAACTCCAGCAATCGGTTCGCTATGTTCAGAGAAAGCTCCTTCCTCCTATAGACACTGTAAGTACCCATTGAATCCCCCTTAAGGCCAGTATCGGCTGCCTCCCATGATGCATGCAGAGCAACACCGGCCACCAGTCCAATCAAAAGCAGTCCAATCCTGCCTAGGAGAATATATGTTACTACCGCCAAGGACGCAACGAAACAGGTCAAAGTTGAATTATCGGACGACGAGAGGAAATGTAGCATGTAATCAACTGGCCCCTTTGATGGGGTAATGGTAGGTATCAAATCACTTGGTCGATTAAAATCGTCATGACGCGAGGTCAGAAGACAGTCAGTGGCATCCTGGGCATCAGAGCAAGTCTCGCTCAAGGGAGACGGAAGAGGCCTGTCAATGGAATCATCCATAATGACTTTCCTCGCGTGAGGATGGCATTAGCCACGTTTGAGACAGGTCTAATTAACGACTTGGTGGTTGTAGAAACGATCAGTTGAAACAGGTTAGGGCCTTTATGATTTGTATAGTCTAAAAGCTGGGTCAATTTCCTTGAAGCCAGAGACTTCATTTCCACCCATCGCGTTTATACAGAGCTTCTCCAGTACAAGCTCTAGCTCAGCACATGTCGATACCTTCCCATTTTTGGTCCCAGATATTGATTATATAATATGTCACGCATTGCTAACTAACGCCTTTTTTATGGTAAGGTAATATCACGTGTGAGACCATTGGAACAAATGAGACGGCGCTGACTAATATCATCATGTGTCTTTTCGTACTTGTTCATTGGTTCATTATTCAGGAGTTTTGATTTGTATGCGACCAGGAAAATTATAAACCTATAGCTTAACAACGGACTAGAGAGTTTATGTGCCCATTCTTTATTGCCTCACATCTTGATGAGATAGTGAGGTATCTAAAGCTATCGAGAATGGGTCTATAATTTCCGCTATCCGAGTGAATCCAGCATTCAAAGAACATGCAATCATGCCAGATGCAAAGAAGATGGCGGGCTTGTATATGTACTTGACGCATAACCAATTAGGTATGTCGTATGTTTTCCCAATGCGCAAGACATTGTGGGCGAGTTATGGATAATTATGAGAGCTGTCCTCAAGTGGTTCTGAGATATTTCGTGTGTGAACCTTTGGCCACGATAGCCATCTTCCCCGCCTCAGATTTTTTGGAGATAACTACCGTTGTGAAAGCAAGCGTCTTCCCAACTTTATCCGCACAGCCTTCAATCTCAAGCCAATCCCCTGTCGTGGCCGTTGACAGGTAATTCACATGGATGTCGGTACTCACACCTGTTGAGTCATGGCCACAGGACGCGATGGCAAGCCCACCAGCCCAATCTGTGACACATGCAGAGAAGGCACCGTGCAGGGTGTTTTTGGAATTCAGATGATGAGGAGCGACACGAAGGCGAGCATTAACTTTCCCCTTTTGCGCGCTATAGATTTCAACGTCGTTGAGAAGGAACGCGTATATTGGGCTGTTAACACGGATACGGTCCCAGACTTTCAAGACCTGATGGAGCTCAGTGTTCA